CCGTATGCCACGCTCGTGACGAAAACATAGGATTAAAACAAAACTTACATGCAAGAGCAACTAAGAAATCGTTTAAATATTACAGAAAACAAAGCAATTAGTCGTTAGTTACGTTCACTGAATAAATGCAACATATTCAATCAAATAACTAACAACTTTATAAATTACAGAGTAGCTAAAATTATAAAAAAATGGGAAGAGAATTAGAGTTGAAATTAGTCGTTCGTCTTTAAGTTCATCTGCTCCTAAAAGAATTTCAGTAGGTCAATGTGCCGAAGCCTGACACTCGAAACTAAAACACATGGCCATATCTGTCAGTGACCTGCTCTAAACATCACTGCTGCCCGTGTGTTTTATCTTTAAGTACCGGGTTTCGGCACATTGACCCAGTGACGTTCTTCTAGGAGCAGATGAACTTAAAGACGAACGACTAATTTCAACTCTAATTCTCTTCCCATTGTTTTATAATTTTAGCTACTCTGTAATTTATAAAGTTGTTAGTTATTTGATTGAATATGTTGCATTTATTCAGTGAACGTAACTAACGACTAATTGCTTTGTTTTCTGTAATATTTAAACGATTTCTTAGTTGCTCTTGCATGTAAGTTTTGTTTTAATCCCATGTTTTCGTCACGAGCGTGGCATACGGGCCGCGGCAACGCACGAGGCGGTTATCGCGCTCCTGCCCGCCTTGTATACGAACGCTCTGGTTGGTCGGTAATTTTTGTTAATAACTCGACAACCACAGCTCGGATAACTTTTTTGCAAAGGAAAAAGTTGTTTAAAATCACCAAGGCTCCTCCCCATTTCAAGGCCTAACACTAGTTCTGGGACACCCTGTATATATATGGAACAACCGGATGGATTTGTAAAAGATCAGAATACAGTGCTCTTACTGAAGAAAGCACTGTACGGATTGAAACAATCCGGAAAGCAATGGTTCGAACAGTTGGGCAACAAATTAAAATCCTTAGGGTTGCAGCCGACGAATACAGATAAATGCCTATACACCTTTAATTTGGAAAAGGATATACTGTTGGTCGCGATATATGTGGATGATATAATTGTAGCCATGAATTCCATGAAAAATTATACAAAATTGAAGGATGGGCTAAATGCTAGTTTTCAAATGAAGGATTTAGGACCATTGAAATATTGTTTGGGCATAGAATGTACGCAAGATGTGAGTAACAATTCTATTTCTATGTCTCAAACAAAGTATGTTACAGATGTCTTGCGACGATTCCGAATGGAAGATACCAAGCCTGTATTGACGCCACTGGAACCTAAAGTAAAATAAGTATTCTAACAATTATTAATTAATCACCTGTGTTCCTGTACCAAGTGTTCAACGCTTGTGGCGATGCCTCGACGTGGCACTGGAGGACCACATCGCTGTCTATCGGTGCCGCTACTAGCTGATTCGTCACTTTTATCGCTGGAGAAACTGAAACAATTAAATTATATCTAATTAACTGCAATTCTCATTTATCAATAATTAAATTTATTTATTAATTCATCCCTCTCATTCACTTACAATGCACGTTAACTGTGTAACGTTTGCTTGGTGTCGGTGGCACGTTGTTGCTCGCTATGCACAGGTACGCTCCCATCTCCTGTCGTAACACTCCGTTCAATTCTAACACCTCTCCTTCATAACTTTTTAGCGCTGAAACATTTTTTTTTATACAAATTATTACAGATTATATATATTGTATTACATTTAGTATTAAGAATAAATAGCTCATAATACATATTATATCATGTGTCGTATCGTATGTCATGTATTATGTAATAAAATATTTATTTCTTAACAAAATTAGGTTCGTACATTGTTTTTGCCCGTCTTCCCGAAGAATTATGTTTCGCCCATCCTCCCTCTTCCATGTAACAGTTGGTTTAGGCGTTCCTGTGGCCACGCATTTCAATTTCACGTTTCCACCTTCGTTCGTCACCATACCCTGCGAGGATTCATCATCAATGATATCCGGAGGTATCATCACTTCCATATATCCGTTCTGGAAATACAGTTAATACAGTTTTTTATTTAATTTGATCTTTATTTAGATGAAATTAGAAAAAACGTTAGAAATGTCAGATATCTTGTTTCTAGTTTATTTTTCCAATCTTAATGAATAAGAATTACGAAAAAATTCTAATATACAGGGTGTCCCAGCACTAGTGGTACATATTTTAATGGGAGGTTCCTGAGGTCATTTTAAACAACTTTTTCCTTTGCGAAAAAGTTGTCCGAGGCGTGGTTATTGAGTTATTAACAAAAATCCCCGCCCAATCAGAGCGCGAGTATACAAGGCGGGCAGGAGCGCGGCAACCGTCTCGTGCATTGCCGCGCCCGTATGTTACGCTCGTGACGAGAGCATAGGATTAAAGAAATGTTGCACGCAGAAACGAACAAACAAATTGGTTAAATATCAGAAGAAAGAAAGCGATTAGTCGTTACTTACGTTCACTGAACAAATGTAACATGCTCAATGAAATAACAAACATCTTTTCAAGTTACAGAATAGATAAAATTATGAAAAATGCGAAAAGAATCAGAGTTGGACTTACTTTTTCGTTGGTCAGTACACCTGCTCCTAGAAGAACGTCAACGGGTCAATGGGTCGACCTTCGGTACTCGAAGACAGAAATACATGGTCCGCAGCAGCTGATGCTTGGAGTAAGTCAATGACTTGCACCCGACGATTTTTTCATTATCATCACGATCACTGTCACTTTCCCACTGGCAAATTTCCACAAAACAAAAGTTGTCACTCTTACACTTTCCAAATTCACTTCCACTTTTCATTTTCCAAATCTACTGTCACATTACACTTTGCAGTTGAAAATTTGCGTACTCGATTTTATTTTAATAGTTAGTTCCGATCGAAATACCGTTTGCGGAACAATTCCACTGCCGCTCTTGGATTATAACTCACTTACGCGTAAATAACGAACATATTAGAATATTCCGAGTTCGTTAGGACACGCATCGTTCTGTTTAGTAACGTAAGGCAAATCCAAATGACCGCTCGCTCGAAGATTTTCTTCCAGAAAATCTTTCCCCACTCGGTGGACAAGTTCGTTACAGAAAATCTGTTTGTATTTTTCAACTAAACCCGACCTTCGTTACCTTGTCATCCTTAAAAATTCTTCACGTGCAGAACACTCGAACCGATGACAAGAGACAGTTCTCAGACTTACACTTACCAAATGCCAAGGCCGAATTGCCTTTTGTCGTACACATCCTGCTTGTCCCCCGAGTGAGGAAAGATTTCCTGGAAGAAAATCTTCGAGCGAGCGATCAGTTGGCTTCGCCTTGCGTTACTAAACACAACGGTGCGTGTCCTAACGAACACGGAATATTTTAATATGTTCGTCATTTACGCGTGAGTTATAATCCGAGAGCAGCAGTGAAAGTGTTCCGCGAACAGTATTCCGAACGGAACTAAGAATTAAAATAAAAACGTGTATGCAAATTTTCAATTGCAAAGTGCAATGTGACAATGGATTTGTAAAATGAAAAGTGGCAGTGAATTTGGAAAGTGTAAGAGTGACAACTTTTGTTTTGTGAAAATTTGCTAGTGGGAAAGTGACAGTGATCGTGATGATAATGAAAAAATCGTCGGGTGCAGGTCACAGACTTACTCCAAGCATCAGCTGCTGCGAGCCATGTGTCCTATCTTCGAGTGCCGAAGGTCGACCTATTGACCCATTGACGTTCTGCTACGAGCAGGTGCACTGATCAACGAAGAAGTAAGTCCAATTCTGATTCTTTTCACATTTTTCATAATTTTATCTACCCTGTAATTTGTAACATCGTTAGTTACTTCATTGAATATTTATAGTTACATTTGTTCAGTGAACGTAAGTAACGATTAATCGCTTTCATTCCTCTGATATTTAACCAATTTATGAGTTCGTTATTGCATGCAACTTTTCTTTAAAAACGTCACGAGCGCGGCATCGCACGAGGCGGTAGCTGCGCTCCTGCCCGCCGTGTATACTCGCTCTGATTGGTCGGGGATTTTTGTTAATAACTCAATAACCACGCCTCGGACAACTTTTTCGCAAAGGAAAAAGTTGTTTAAAATCACCTCAGGAATCTCCCATTAAAATATGTACCACTAGTCCTGGGACACCCTGTATACTGATTAGTACTAGGA